AGTCTTAAATATCTTGAAGTAATCTCATTTCCTCAGGATAGGTCTGGCCAATGAGGATAACCAGATGGTTAAAAAAATTGTTTCAACTTTAGGTTTCAATGTTGATTATACAGTCATTCTATATTCTCTTAGGGAGTATGAAAAATAGACTTAAGAAGTTTCTATTTAACTCTAGTCCTCTCCATCTGTTATATCATTTTTTTAAAGCTGAAAATAAACTAAGATGTTGTCTCAGTTCTAGAAAAAAATCTGAGAATATAATAACACCTTATGCTTTAAAGATGGAGACTTCTGTAGTTCTTAAGTCATTCATAATATATTGGAAAAAAACAAGATAAGAATAAAATAATTTACCATATGAAAATGACAAACAGTTGAATTTGGCAGGAGAGTTGTAGGAATAAGAGGGATTTAAAATGAGTACTGAAGAGAAAAAGAATATTGGGTAGTATATATCAGTTCTTTCATGAAATTCATTAGAGAAAAGAGGGTATAAAATTGTCATAACATCTTTACATCACTGAAGGATTCTATTTCCAGAATCATGGTAGATTTAGTGCCCTGAATGACCCTTATGCTAAAAACAAATGAAAATGATGGAATGTATTTATAAAATATTTATGTGTAACACATATTATGATTAAAACTTATAATTGTTTATACACACACACAGAGTATGTCCTTAAGTTCGTTAATGAGTAAAGTAAGGATTATTAAGGCCAAGGAATGAGAGAAGCCAGAAAATCACAGATAAGCAAAACAAACCACTTGAGACATTTCAAAACTGGTGAAACTGAACATCCTTGTTCACAAGTAAGGTTGATTAAAGATAAAGTTGGAGGCCAATTTGCAGTGTAGAATCTAATCATATAATAGGCTTATATGCAAAAGACTTACAATACTAATATTAGGGTAAACTAGAAATAAAACTGCCCATTTCTCTGCTCCTCACATGACCCTATTAAAACTCTCCCGGAAAACTGAACCTTGAACAGAGGAAAAAAAAAAAAAAAAAAAAACTCAAAACCACAAGCCAAGCCTCGTAAGAGGTTGTAACTTGAATTTTTATTATCTGAGTGGCATAAAAACCTCTAACAAGGAATTTTGTTTCAGGTTGTCTTGAACTGGTAATACTTCCAGTGTATCTGAAGTAAATTCAAGCATGCATAGAAAGAGGCTTTCAGCTAGCCTTCAAAAAATGTTCAGAGAGAAATTTCCCACAAGGAATCCTAGGCATAGGAGGCAAGAGTCAACAGGAATTAGACAATAATATGAAATAAATGATTCATTTATCAAGAAATTAAAGAAAGCCTTGAAAATAATGAATAAAAAGTGAGGAGTTTTAAAAATCAATCAAAATATAAAGAATATCATAAGTAAAATTTAAAATTTAATAAAGTGGCGTGAAGTTCAAAACCAGGAAAATTAATTGATGGTTTCAGATGTCAAGATGCAGTTTGAATCTGAAGAAATAAAGGTTCGCAAGGGACTAGAGGAGATCTCCTGGGTGCTGACAGTATTTTTGATCTTGATTCAGATGCTGGCAACATGAGTAGGTCTTTTTTATGAAATGTATATGAGAATTCTATAAAATTCTATAAAAGTTTATTCATAAAAATTCAATGAATAACGTTAACAGCATATTAGACATAACTTAAAAAATAATGAAATGGAAATCATATTAAAGAAATTACTCAGAATGCAGGTCAGCAAGTTAAAGAGATAAAATACAAAAAGTACAAAGGACAGACAAGAAAGATACAGCAAAAAGAGGAAAAATTCAAAACTACATGTAAGAAAAATAAATAAATAAATAAACTACACATAAGAGAGAATAAGGCAGAAGCAGCATCTGAAGAGATAATGCCAGAAAACTTGTACAACTCATAAAAGATACCAATATATTAAAACTTTTTTGTGTGGGGGGAGCGGGAGGTAATGAGGTTTATTTATTTATTTTTAGAGGAGGTAGTAGGGACTGAACCCAGGACCTCATGCATGCTAAACATGCACTACCACTTGAGCTGTACCTTCCCCTCCATGTTAAAACTTTAAAACACAAAGATTTTAAAAATTCTTAAAGCTACCAGAGAAAAAGGTCAAAATACCTTCGGGGAAACACACTGAAAATGGATCTCAAAATTAAGTTTGCTAACAGCATATCATAACAAATAGGCAGAAGGAAAACGATCTGAGGACTATAAAAAATAATATAAATATAACGTAAAATAAAAATATAAATGAAGGACTGAGCTGTAAGAGGGAATGACCAATAAGGTACTAGTATTACAAGTCAGCAAATACAGCCATGATTCAATCTTGGCTATCAGATTTTGCGAATAAAATTTCACAGAAACAAAGTCACGTTAGTTTACTAACACACTGTCTACGGTTGCTTCTGAACCACAGAGTTGAGTAGTTGCAACAGAAACCACATAGCGGATAAAACTGAAAATATGTACTATCTGCCACTTTACTAAAGTTTTCCAACCCCTGCCCTGGTTATATATATGTAATAAATATAAGCAAGTTATTTTTTAAAGTGATAACCAATTACTCCAGAGACAATAACTGAATTAAAGCATTTTAAGGCCTGTGTGTTATTCAGGAGCAGAGCAAATAGCTTGACTTACTGCATAATTAATAAGTTAAATAGGCAGCTTAACATTTCTCGGACTAGAGCTGACTTTGAAGAGTGATAATTTCTAAGATTGAACAAAAAAAAAGATTTGTTAGGAAGTAATTTCCAATACAGCAGGGAAAAAATAATTAAATTAATATATATTACAGTGTAAAGGAAATAATTAAATTGATAATTAAATAAAGCAAATAATTAAGATAGTGAAAAGACAATGGGAGAAAATATTGGCAAATGATATATGTGATAAGAGTTTAATATCTCAATATGAACTCTTACAACTCAACAATAAAGAGACAAATAATTCAACTAACGAGTGGGCAAAGGATATGAATAGAAGAGGAAAATACAAAACAAGATCTACAAATGGCCAACAAGCACATGAAAAGATGCTCAACATCATTAGTCATTAGGGAAATGAAAATCAAAACTATGATATCACTTTACACCCAATGGGATGACTAGAACCAATAAGATAGACAGTAACAAGCAGTGACACAGATATGAGTAAATTAATATTATAAATCAACTATACTTCAATAAAAAGATGTGAATAAATTAGAACCTTCACACATTGATGTGGGATTATAAAATGACACAGGTATTTTGTAATTTGTCAGTTCCTCAAAAGCTAAGTATAGAGTTACAAAACGACCTATCAATTCTACTCCTAGGTATGTATGTAACAAAATAAAGCACATGTCCATGCGAAAACATACACAATAATGATCACAGCAGCATTATTCATAATAGTCAAAAAGCAGAAACAACCCAAATGTCCACCAAATAATGAATAAAGAAAATGCAGTATCCCCATAAAATGGATGATCAGTCATCCATAAAAAGGAATAAAGACATGTATGCTATAACAGGAATCAACCTTGAAATTTTATGGTAAGTGAAAGAATCCAGTCACAAAAGACCACATATTTTTTATTCCATTCATATGAAATGTCTAAAATAGGAAAACTCATAGACAGAGAAAGACCAATAGTTCAGAGGGACTGTGGAGAAGGGAGAATAAGGAGTAATGATATACCAATTCTTTTTAAGGTGATAACTGTAAATATACTGAAAATCATCTAAACGTATACTTTAAAAGGAAGAATTTTACAATATGCAAATTTTAGCAATGAGCTTTAACAAAAAGTCAAGGTACGAATTGTTTTAATTTTACAAAAATTATTCCATAGTTTAAAAGAAAAGGGGAGGGGGAGCATGCTCCAGCTAACTTTGAGGCTAGCATATCTTTGATACGACATGCAACAGCTGTTGTGATAAGAAATAGCTCCCTATAACCAAAAGTCAGTAGCAAAGAACAGATTTGTGCAATATGCTACAGCAATGACCAAGACAAAGAGCACATGAGAAAAACTCTAAAGAAATTCCTTCTAACTCTTAGAACTCCATGATCTTATGATAATGTATTCATATTATTAAGTACAAATGTTAATTTGTGGCAGTAAAATCTTGAGTACTTTTGATAATTCTAAGAAAACTAGATTTCAATGGAAATGTCAATAGAGAAAAGGAGAGAGAAATCAACATCAAGTCAAAGTCAAAAACTGCACAGACTGTATCTGCTTTTCAGTAACAGTATGTGTGGTAACCTGAATGATATCATGACTCAGACACTTACATTCTAATAATATGAACAAGGTGTTGACCTATTTAGCACTGTCAAAAATTTGAAGCTTGTTATTAAAATATAGATTCACATTATTTACTTTGTGACTCAAAACTTTCCCAAGTTCACATACTTTTTGAAATGAATACGTCGAAGTTCAAAAGGGTATGAATCTGCAACTAAAAACACTGCAACATCAGAAATCACGTATTTATTGAAGAAAGAGCCATGGCTTCAATCATTGCACAACTGTCTACTTCATTTAAATAAATGAGTAATCTAGAAATATATTATGCTTGATGTAAATAATATAGTCATTTGATTATGTATTTATCATATATCCATTCATAACTCAAGTGGGTTAAATTAAGATCAACCTACTTATAATTCTTAGTTCAGCCTAATGCAAACATCTGAAACCAACTTTCTTCTTGAGCTAATTTTATCTATCTTTAGCATTTCAGTGACTATACTATACTGCATATGATCTTTTGTAGATAGTCTGTATATGTGTGTGTGATTAATGGATATGGCTATCAATAAACATCAGTTACCTCATTTACTTTGGACAGCTCTCATTTTAAATCTACGTTATAGATCACTTATTTCATTTTCATGTAGTTCTTCCAATGAGAAGACTGATTCACAGATGCAGTGGCATATTAAAAAAACAATAAAACTAAAACTATCAATATAAAATACAATAACCCTCGGAAGACTTTTTAAAAGATGTACCTTCTTCAAGGATGGGTCGTGGGATGACAAATGGAATGTCCTGCAGAGGTTCCATGTACTTGTGGCCAGCACTAACAATCTTTATTTGCGGCAAACAGAGGACAAGCGTTCCTGGCATGCTGGTTTGTCCATGGTACCAACTTCTTACTGTTCCAGGAATGTCACCAGATACAATTGTGCTTGGGGAAGGCAAGCTATCATTTGGGACGAACACACAACAAGACTGTACTTCAAGCTAGGGAAAAAAAGCAGAATCAAAATATTTTGGATCAGAGCATATTTGAGAGTAAATGTATCCTCAAAGACCTAATATCTTTACCAGAGTACAGAGGCAAGCCAAAAAAGAAAGTGCCCCATACTTATGTCTTTATGAGTTACTTCTACTAAAGAATATAACAAACACTTGAAAAGGTGTTGTTTCTCGCTATAAAGTTGATCAAAAGAGCACAGTGACATGAAATGAAAACATATCTGCCTTTCCACAGTTCTTTCCAAGAAACAAGATTGAGTAAGAAAATGTGCTGGCAAAAAAGGTGAGAAAATCCTCCTCCTTTTGCAGTTCATTAGGTTTTGTTAACACCAGCTAAGGCCTTAGGACTGACTAGCATTTTATTGCTCTTACTTTAAAAAATTTAAAAAAAAACCACAAACAGCTATTTCTATGTGAATTTGTCCCTTCCTTTTTACTTTATGACTGAAATATAAGAAAAAATGTGTACAACATTCAACTATATCTCAAGACAAAAATTAAAGGAGAATATGTCTATGACATACATAGTAATAAAGAAAATTCAAGAGACTTAAAAATCAGTGCATTAGTCCTTACTTTTATCATACTTCGAATTATTACCTAAATTGTAATTTCATGTGAAATTTTTATGTTCCCGTATCCCCAGTATAGTTACTTAGGTTGCCAGGACCTTGTAGAGTTCAAATAAGACTAAGTAAGATAAAATCAAAAACTGAATACATCATGAGTTCTTAATTCAAAAGCAATGTAGGTTAAAGCCTATTAGTCTCAGTTAGCTCTTTAACAAGGTAATATTCTGTACCTGGTTAGTAAACTGCTCAAACAGCCTAGCATACTTAAATCATTTTTAAAAAAATACAAAATATGACCTGTTCTATAAAACATTTGGCATACAAAAGTATTATCTGCTTTTATCTAATAAAAACTAAAATTTGTTTGGTAAATGCTTACATATTCTAGCAAATTAAAATAACAAAGAGACTATATTTTATAAAAGATAACTAAGAATACGGTAATATCCCTTCTCTTGGAGCTAATATATTCCTTAGCCAGAGCATGATATGTAACAGGTCTGGAATTCTTTGATAAGATAATTTACCAGTCTTATAAATAAGCAAACTTACTCATCTTTCCTTCAACATTTCTGTACATGTACAAACTGATGAATTTTGTGAAGAAAAATAGTAATATATTATTTTGCAAAAATAAATACACTGGTTCATGCAGTATGAGAATTTTTCATTCAAGAATTTCATCTTGTAGCTTAAGCGTGTATATGTTAAGTGATTTAAGAACACAACATTTTTAACTTCTGAAATAGAAGTGTATATTGTCTCAGATGTATTACATTTATGTACGAAATATGAACTAATTCATTAGTGATGTGCACGTAGAAGGGTACAAGTTGAAGCGGCACACTGAGCGCGTACTCTCCTATACTAATTATGGTTATGAGGTCAAACTATGAAGAGTCAGTATTTAATACTTCATGTTAAGTATTGACCCTATGTTGAAAAATGCTTTCAACAATGTGAGATAATTAGGTTAATATGCCACCATACATAAATATATACATAGATGTCCTGAGAAACAAATCTCAATTGTGCCAAAACTTCCAAAAATCACAATATATTCTAAATTTCCATTAATTCAGAAATAAATTATTTAATCAAATTTAAACAGCCTCAGCAATGCATGCAGAATCAACAGCATATGAATCTGACATATGTATACAACAACTCCAAAAAATAAACAAATATATGTTGTGGGGTTCTTTAATGATAAGAAGCAAAACAAATACATAATCCAAATTGCTCAAACTTAATGATAAAGTTACATCTATTATATATACTAAAGATATCACATAAATCTTTTTATACTTTAAAAATAACTGTTAAACTGTATGTCTAAAATTGTGGTTTTAATGTAAAATGTTGAGTGATTTATGTAAGTGAATATAAATCTGCAGCAGTAAATTTTGCGTTAATGTAAGGATCTGACAATCCAAGGGAAAGAAAATGAAGTAATCTGCCAGTAAGAAGTCCTCAAACTGGGGGTCAGATCATGTTCATGGAAACCATCTGGTTGGGACCCTCTGAGCCACACCAAACACAAATGATCTTTTAAAAAAATATCCTATTCATTAATGCATCACAGCTGCACTGAGTGTTACTTCATTTTTCCATGGCAACATCCTTTCTGTTTCACGGATCTTATTTCAGTTTTGGTAGCAACATGTTCTTTCGCCAATATTGAACACATTCATGTGTTAAAGTGAAGGGATTATTACAAATTCTTGAAGTAGAACCATCTCTATTTTGATTCCTACTAGGTCAAGGGCTACATACCTAAGTATCATATGCTGAGGATAAACCAATAAAGCAGAAATTATTTGGTATTGGTTTTAATAAATGAAATGATTCTTATGCATTTTGAAGTTCCAAGTTCCATTTTTTCTTAAGTTTCAAGTGCTGCTTGAAAAGATGTATGGCACTGTGTACCCCTACCCTCCAGAAGTAAGGTTTGGTAAACTTGGATTTTTCTAATTTGTGTGCTACACAACTGCGATCATAACTCAGTTAAAAAGAGGAGATTTTAGATAGGTTTCACTTATACATTAAGCTAAGCATTTTAATTAGCCCACCATCCATCATACAGAATACTTAATATAAATGCTTTACCATATTGTCTGCCCTTTAAATAATGTTCCTACTTCCCATTCCCAAAGTAACATGTTTTCCTTTCTTCAAAACTTCAAAACTTAGTGATAATTATATTTAAAAAATTTATACAGAATGAAATGTTCTCAGTATGAATGTATTTTACTGCCTCAGGAAACAGTTTCAAGTAAAAAAAATATTAAAATGAAGAAGTAATGCAGGTTCTATTTTCACTCACTTTTTCTTTCTTTTATTTATGGATCCTTTAATGTCTACCATTAAGTGAGCTGGAAGTCAGGAATAGAGACAAAAGACAGAGTCCTAGCACTTAAGAACAAGAAGGTTTTAAAATGCTAATAGCCTTACATGATTTTCCCAGAACAAATCGCCAGCTCCTTTGACTGTTTTGTACTCTACAGTGTCAGCAAAGTGCAGTACCTTCCATGTACTAGGTACTAAATAAACAACCGTTAAATAAGGGAACACAATTATTTTTATTGACATCAGATATTGATATTAATTAAAATAATTGTTTAATGTATGTTGTTCACCATTTCATTCCACAGAGACACCTCGTAGAGTAATTAATAAAACTGACTTCTCAGCCACAGGAGTTCAACTCCAGCTGTGGAACCTCTGACAAGTTATTTAATCTTTCCATGACTTCAATTTCCTCATCTGTAAATGAGGGGAAATCAATTTGATATAAAGATGCAACATATTAAGTACCACATAAATGTTTGCTGAATAAAGTCAATGAACATATACTAAATATCTAACATATACTAGACCCATATATTAGCCTTCGTAGATTTATAAACGTTGCTCACAGTCCTTTTATTTTAAAATGCTTTTGCTTATGGTTTAGCTATCTATGTATATAGACGCCACCAAAATAAGCAGTATTATATTTGCACTACAAAACATATATAAACAATTGCTCAAGTCAATTTTTCTATTCTATAAATTTTTAATACATTATGAAAATATTTGGGGTATCTTCCTATGTAGTAGAAATCTGAATATACAAAATTTAGGGCATTAGTTAAAAACTTCAAAAGTGAACCGTGGTTGTCTTCTTTTCCACAGTGAGTATTATAAATCTCCACATTTTTCCCATAAACATCAGTCAAGGGAAAACATGAAAAAACATTCCTATATTTGTATCCCAGACCTTCTCCTTCTAATGAACTAACCTGCAATTGCTGTCACTTTCTCAACGCCTATAAATAAAAATATGGTCCTGTGTGCAAATTTTAATCATTGAACGTAAATAATTATTTTTATAATTAAGATAACTGACAGTTGTTATGTCTAGCTAAAATGTCTACTCTTATTTAATCCTGGCGATAAGTCAGGAAGTTCACTGGCCTTGAGGACATTAAGAGAATCATGCAACATGATTACTGCATCACTGTTCATTCTCTATCTGTAACTTCCTGGGAGAGGAAATTCACTTGTTGTAGCTCAACTGGCTTATGGTACGTGAGACACTTTGACATCCTCATCAAAATCACACAAAATGTGGGAAGTCATTTCCTAAAAGGAATAAAAGATTATTAGCAAAAGAAGGAGATAAGGATAAAAAAATAGAGTCCATTATACTATACTGTCCACAATCAGAAGACTTCAGAAACTACAAAAAAACACCCAGGAAATGCCATAAGGCAGCAACATTTTCTTCAATGTAAAAGACAAGGAGACTGAGTTTGGCAAAAGCCAGGGTAATGTTACCCTTTATTACTGAATTCTAGGCCAGAGTAGTTCTGTTTTGTCAACTACATGCCATTGACAATTATGTGATTCCAGAATAAAAATGTCACTTTTTTTGAAGTACAATAGATAAGATCTTTGCTGAGGAGCAGACAGACAAAAACTGCAAAGAACAATGAGTTTATGCTAATCTACTGTGAAGAGGGCCCCAAACTAAATCCATATTAAAAAAAATTGTTCAATTTTTCAAGTTCTACATCTAGAACTATAAAATAATCCAACTACAATGATGTATAGAAGTTCTTTTCTCCACCATTTGAAGAATAGGTTGTTGCAAGTATTGTTTATGTCTCAATGCAATGTAAAGTCTTTCTACCATAAGTTAAAAAGTACATGGGCTTAGCAAATATCAACTTGGGCTCCAAAATCAACTTTCCAGAAACTCTGATTCCAAACACATTTACTTGCTCAAACTTCCATTAAAAGAATAATCCTTTGATGGCTTTAAGTTATGATGTCCTGTTTTATCTGATGTCAACTTCAGGGCTTTCTTTTGTATGTTTTGGTTCATAAAACATCTTGGAAAATGGATTTAACTTAAAAAAAACCCTCAGTTTTAGGGCCTGGATTTTGATCAAACTCTAGTTTTATCTTTAAACTTTTTCAGAATACATTAACATCTGGACATGTCTAAATATAATGCAGGGCTGGGACTAGGGGTGAGGCAAGCAGGGCTCCTTGATCATATGCAAAATAACATGTATGTATCATTGAGTACTCCTGTAATTAAATGTTAATTTGTACTCAATAAACTTAGTCAAATGAGGGACATCAGACTAAACTGTATCCTAAAAAATGGTTAAGATGGTAAATGTTACATGTGGATTTGGCCACAATTAAAAATACTAAAAGAAGAAAAAAATGAGGAACATCAGTATCTCTACTTACAGCTAATCTATAATGACATATAAGATTAAGTTAATTGTTCATGGTCAAGCTAATGAAGGCACTGCATCATTACAAAACAGGCAAAAGAATCACAAAAATGTAAGAATTGGAAATACCTTACACATGACTCAATCTAACCACCTCATACCACAGATAAGCAAAGTAAAGCCCACAGTTACCATTCAGAATCTGATACTGCTGACCAACGGTTCCTTGAAATTTTATACACTCTTGGCTTCCATGAACTCTCTGGCCTTCCCGCCTACATTTTTGATCACTTGCTTAGGGTTTTTTTCAAGAATACTTTCTCTTATACTGATTACTTTAGAAATGGTATTCACTTGGCCCATTGCTCCTTCAACTTCTTGTACTTTTTTGTATGATTCATTCTCCTAGTTTTAACCATCTGTGGATTCCCAAAATTGTATTGCTACTGTGCAACTCTTCCTTAAACTCTATATACAAATATTCAGTCTAATAGATAACCGGATATCTCACAGGCATTTCAAATACATGTGTAAATTCAAACTCCCAATTTGCCGCTAACCCTGAAAAGCTGCTTCTCTTATCATATAATGGCATCTCTATCTACCCACACCAGATCTGGAATACCAGACTTGCTCCTTTCTCTCATTTTCCAAATCCATAAGTCAGTAGGTTCAGCTGATTTTACACTTAAGTCTCACAGGGATCACTGCCTAGCTTTTCGTATTGTCTAGTGTATTGAAACCATTGTTTAATACACTATGTCTATTTTTGGTTGTTTCAGACAGCAAGATAAATCCAGTTCCTGTTACTTCATCCTGGGCAGGGGAGGATGTTTTCCAGAATATCTTGTGTTGTGGGATATTCATGTGTCTACTTGCTGGCTTACAAATACCATAAAAATTTATTATATCACTTGGAATTTTAAATTGGAAAGTTTCCCTAGAGCTGTCAAATAATCACGTAACCTAATACTATTTTTCTTATCCTTTTTATATGACTACTCAAAATGCTATTTGAAAAGTGTAATTACAGTAAATTGTCCATTTTTTGTGGAATGGATAAAAGGGAATGAGGTTACTTTTAATACAACTACTTATAGCATCATGAAATAATATTTAGGACTAAAGTAGACTAACAGCTAAATATTCTTGCTAGTCATTACATACTGGACAATGCTATAGTGTCATCTTTAGTTCTACAAATCAATAAATACTACCCTGGAACAGTATTTAAATTCATCATGAATCTCAGTGCATGCCCTAGGAGTCCTTTCAGTAAGTGAAATTTACCTGCACATGCCCATCTCTCTTTTAGATCATTAAAGTTTTCTAAGGGAGCCCTCTAAGAGGCATTCCCCACAAGACTTCATAGATGGCTCTTTGCTTTTTTCCTGCTAGACCAAGGGAACTATTATGTTTCTTTGCTCTCCTCAGCCTCTGGCATGATATATAACAAAAATTAAGTGCTGAATGTGAGGACAAATGAAATAATAATACATGGAGGGAAAGAAAGTATTCCACAACTAGGCAACTAGTTGTTTAAAAAATAAACAAGTTTATACTAAGGTATTAAAGAGTTAATGTGCTTATGATTATTAAGCAAATACTTATATTTTAGCAAGATTTTCCTGGAACTACAATGTTTATCAGAAAGGACATACGGAATTTCAGAAAGCAAAGCAGTATATATGAAGGAGCAACAGGACCTTGGAGCAATTCCTCAAATTATATTCCCCCTCTTCATCAACTCCAGGGCTATTTCTGAGGGGAGTACAAGGTAATTAATTTTAACAAGACATGTAAGTACTAAGGGATCTGCTACAGTCCCACTATAGTCGAACTTTTATTTCTATACCTATATATTGCATATACATATTTCATGCGTGTGAAATGAAAGAATACTATGTAAGCTTATTTTGGTATCAAAGCACTTTCACTAGAATAGAGAAAGAAAACTGAGAAAAAGAAAAAAGAAAGGAGTTGTGTTGCCAGAAAGAGAAAGCTATAGATAAGAATCAAGAGAAAGCAAATTTTGTATAATAGGTAGACATCAATATTCAGGGGAAGTGTCCACAAAGATCTATTATACACTGAATAAGTCTTAGAAAAGACACAAAGAATACATACCTTTCCTACCACAATTCTTAGCCCTAGTTTAATGAAATCAAAATACAACTAATTCTTGAGTAAGATGCCTTAAAGTAAAGTGCTAAAGAAAGGCATGATATGTAACGTAAAGCACCGCAGAAAGATCTAATATTTGGATTATTCCTTTCTTCCATGAAATATTATTTATATTAAATTAACATTTAGAACTTAAGACTGAACTATAATCAGATGAGTTCAGTGTTATTTATTTATGTAATAATTATAGTAGAAATATATGCTCTAAGTAGTTATACATCTTCTTAATTACTAATCACTCTAGTACTTATTGACTACTAAATACACCACAGATTACTCTTTCTAGAAGATAACAAAATAATACATAACAAGATGATGGGTAGTACTTATCAGGGAAAAAAACCCACTTAATTTACTGATGATTTGAAGAGTAAAAACAGAATGTGTTAATTAATCAGTGAACTTAGACGAGCCCATGTGGCATTATGCAGAAACACAAGAAATAAGAAAAAAGACTCCTTAAATTTATTTTCTTGTGACTACAGACTAGAGTAACCTAAGAATACAGACTCAGATGGACCAAACTGAGAAAGAGAATGTAACTGAGATACAATTGTCCATGCACCACCCTCATTCCCATCAGTAATGTCTTCCCTGAGATGAAAGATTTTGTTATACAGAAAAGCTACGTACAAGTAAATGAATAAATATAAATAGTTATGAGGAACAAAACCAGACACTACTATCATGAAGGATGGCATGGGTAAATGTTTATACAAGGACTGAATGAAAAATAGTAAAAAAAAGATCATAAGGAGACAGTAGTTTACTATAGATTAAAGAAAGTAATATTGACTATAAATGATCAGCAACATGTTAAGAGCACTGTCTGTTTTCTGCTTCTACAATCAACTTCAAGCAATGTAAAGGCACTGAATGTTTCCTGCATTGCTGCTATCTCGTCTTCCTATTTGATGCCACCAACACATCAAAAGAACCTTGAAAGGAGAAAGACAGGTAAGTCAACACAGGGAGTTACAGTTACTAGGATAATATCAACAGTAAAAGGCCTAACACTGGCTGAGATTGGTGAGATGCAGCTGTTATCTGTGAAAAGGCCATATTTCTTGCAAGCTGAAAGTTAAAATGACAACAAAAAAATGACAAAACACACTTTCTTCCTCCTACTCTTCTCTGAATTTTCTATAAGCAGCATGCACAGAAGAGAGAGGCTGTAAAGGATTCCCAAAATCCAGGTTAGTGGCTCTGGTATTAGATAGATTTGAAATACAGTTGACCCTTGAACCACAGAAGGATTAGAGGCACTGACCCCTCATAGCGGAAGATCCATATATAAGTTTACAGCCCACCTGTTGGATCCACGGTTCTGCATCTGCAGACTCAACTACAGATCAAGTAGTACTGAAATACTGAAAAAAATCCACATAAGTGGATCTGCACTGTTCAAACCTATGTTATTCAAGGGTCAACAGTAATCATATTCACATACTGATAGGAGGCAACTGGAGATGTTTCAGATTTCTGAAAAGTAATTTTGGTAAGTTTTCATAATAGTAATCAGACTACATTACAGCTATGCATAACGTGTTTGTATTGTGAGTTACCACTTTTCTATGCTGCATAACAAATTACTACAAATGTAGCAGCGAAAAACAGCACATACGCATTATCCTGCAGTTTATGTGTGTGAAGCTTCCCGGTATAATCTCCAGGTCATCCACCTTGCTCGTGTTCAAAAGGTGGGAACAACATTCTTTTGCAATTTTCTACATCTTAAACAGAAGTGAAAGGCTCCAATACTTAGATATTACTGTCTGGTACACATAAAACTCCACAAAGATGCCTCTGACCTCAGTCTTCCATACCTTATTTTAAGTTACACAAAAACTTAAAAACTGTTGAGTTACCCTTACCTAATACCTATGAAAGAAGATAAGAATTTAATTGTATATTTTCATCAGTTTAAACATGATGTAGAAGAAGGGTAATTTTAAAAGATTAAATTATGTCTACTTAGAAGTGAAAATAAGTAAAAAGTAAAATTTAATAACAGTAAGATAAATAAATAATTATAATTTTCATATCTAGTTTATGGTTAGGTAGGAAAAAATAGAAGGGTTATCTAATTATTCCAACTAAGCTTTTATTTTAGCACTAAGGATGGGATTTATACACCGACCATTGAAAATATATTAAATAAAGCTTAAAAGAAACAAAAAGTACAATTAATTAATTTTTTTAATTCAAGGAACATCTCAAAATCTGTAGTTTTATAAATCTATCAGGAAAAGCACAAGTGTTTCATATCACTGTTAATAACATGCAAAGTACAGCAATAGTTTTCTTCTAAATTATGAAAATGAGGTAGTATACATAAGAATCACCAGTGAGAACATTTTTTACCAATATTAAAGGTACCTCTGAAAATTAAAAAGAATCATATAAACTAAAACCACGATATTTCTAACTTTTATTTTACCTGCAGTGTGAGACTTTTTACTGCATTCCACACCACTCCAATGAATTCTTTCATTCTTTCCTCAGGACTTCTACAGCCTTCAGATATATTCAGCATGGCTTTCACAGGAACTGACAATGGTCTGGACTCTAAGTATAAGAACAACTAATTATTTAACAGAAATACACCTTACACTTTCACAAAAATATCCAGAAAATATTTTGAGAGTATTTCTTTCCTTGCCTAAAATTAAAGCTTCTATATGAGATTATAAAATATCACATTAGATCATTTTATCTTGCATAATTACTGATTTTTACAATTATTCAAAAATAAGCAAAACTAACCTATTAAAAGTCAGGAGAGTATTTCTGACTCTTGTCAGGGATTGATGATTGGGAGGTGGGTTTGGGGAGCAATGGTAATGTTCTATTTATTGAATACATGGATGTATTCATTCCATGAAAATTTATTAAGTTGTAACCTAATAATCTGTTCATTTCTCAGTATAAAGTTAACACAGCAATAAAAATCTTACTTGAAGGAAAAAATACAACTACAAAGCACTGGCTTTGCCTGAAA